GAAACTAACTCTGAAGGAAATATAAAATTTGAATAGCACCTATTAAAGAAAGCATATTCCTAGCTTGAAAACCTATCTATACTATTTTTATTTATTCATCAGGTGATGATGACCTTGAACTTTAACTATTACAAAGTGTGCACGGACTGTCGTGATTGCTTTCCCCTTTAATTAAGGATTGGATGGGACCATGGTGATGTTAAAGACTCACGGTGCCCAGTAGCAGTCAGCTACTGGCAAAGCTTGATTTTGGAAAAACTAAAGAGCCACTCTCTCCTCAGATCCCTATTTTCCCAGGTGCTTCCCTCCTGACCCAAGGCCCTGGATGGTCTCAATGCAGTAACACAGATCTGTGGATTTCTCTTCAAGTGCATTTTCTATTCCACATTTTACCAAATATTTGTAGGTATCTGGATAAAGCCATTCTGGCCAGGGCACGAAGACACACGGACCAAGTAAGAACTGAATGTAGCTTTCGAAGAGGGGTTTCGATTCACATTTACTAGATGAGGAAAGAAAAGGCCTGCTGCAACTGGTGGAGAGGAATTAAGTTTACCTTCTGGGTTACTGGGAACCCTTGGTCCCAGGCACGTGTCTTTGTTTTGTTAACTCGCCAGTCCCTGCTCTAAAAGTGTTGGGACTCAACCGCCCTTCGCCACGTGAGGAGGCTCAGGTTTCAAAACTTCTTTGGAAGTCAATTAGTCTCTTTGGTTGCTGAAAGAAGACTCTATTAGAATCCAAATGACTTCTTCAATGTGTCCTCCCACCCGTCCTGGCTCCTTTAGTTGACAGTAACTATCTAAACAGAACTGGACCCGTCCCCAGTGTGGCAGAGCTGCAAACAGCTCCTGATCGACTGGGCCTTTTCCCTTCCATCCCGGAGGTGGGGGTAGGACGAAGGGATCTGTGCTGGCGTCCACCCCTGCAGGCACTGTGGCAAAAGAGAGATTCATTCCCGAATGGCTCTAATTCCTGTGCTAGATCCGCATGAGTGGAGCCTGTAGATAGGACACGCACTGCCCTGGAACAGGTTGCAGTACAATTCCCGCCGAACCCTGGCAACTGCGAGGAGAAATGTCGGCCAAGGAGGGCGGAGCGCGGTCGAGGAGGCGGAGCTACAACTGAGGGGCGGGGCGAGCCAGAGGGGGCGTGGTAGAGACCAAGGGCGAGGGGCGGAGTGAGGACGATGGGGCGGGGCGAGACGGTGGGAGGGGGGGAGCGAGGACCATGAGGCGGGGAAAGACGACGGGAGGGGGCGTGACGAGGGCGACCTGGTGGAGTGAAGGCGAGGGGCGGAGTGAAGGCGGAGATGGGGCGGAGCGCGGGCGGGGAGTGCTTGGCCTCGGCCTCGGGGCCCCGCCTCCCGCCGCAGGCGCGCCCGCCCCG